GAGGTTCAATTCGGTCAGGTACCCAATAGTTGTCAGTTTCTCAGAGACTAGTTTATATCAGCTTTATTCAAAAGAGACCAGTGTATAAAATCTGAGTTCTGGTTTATTCGTTTACAAGGGTAAGCATAAATGTCAAGCAGACTGCAACACTTAGATCAACGGTCAGGGAGTTCTCTCCATACTTGTAAGTTATACTGGAAGTCAAATTATTGTCAGGAGACAATAGGCAATCATGTCAGGAGAACTGGAATTCATTGGATGGTTTTAAAGGATTTTTGTCATGGAACTCTTATGGCCTGAGGCCTCTGTCTCCATTACTGGGCTAGATCTGGCTAAGGGACAGGAATGTCCCCATTCATTGGTTAGAGCATCCTGTACATTGGGTAGGTTTTTAATGCCCGTTTCTATTTGTGCTCCCTGATTCCTGCTTTCCTATTTTTCAAATTGATCACTCCTCTTCAGTAATCTCCTTTTTTAGATACATTTAAGCTACCTAACAGGTTATAGGCAAGCTTTTCTCTTCCTACTTTTGGGTTGAAAGACATTTTCTGTTTTAGTATGACTTTGGCACATGTATTATCACATCTATTATGTGTTGATTTTATTAGTTTGGGTCTTAATTGTTATTGTTTGTTGCTCTCGAATTGATTCTGACTCATAGCAACCTGATGTGTGCAGAAAACTGCATCATAGGGTTTTCAAGCCTGTGACCTTTTGGAAGCAGATTGCCAGGCCTATCTTCTGAGGTGTCTCTGGGTGGGTTTGAACCGCCAACCTTGTTGAGTGCTTAACCGTTTGTGCCACCAGGGACTCCTTAGATCTTAGAGTTCTGGGAAAATATGTAATTGGAAGCAGTCCAGTCTAATGGTTAGGAGCATGAGTTTTGTACTCAGATCAAACAAGGTATTAATTTTGGCTCCCCCACACACTAGCTGTGCTTCCTTGTAAACGTTATTTAGCTTCTTTAACTTTCAATTTACGTATGTAAAAAATGGAGGTAATACTGTTTCTTAACTCACATGATTATGTGATGATTGCATAAGATAATGCATACAAAGAGTGCACAGCATCTAGCACATAGTAAGCACTAAAAAAGTTAGCCTTTATTTACTATCATATAAAAATCCCAGAAGAAAAATTTTTATTAGCACCAGCATTATTGCTTATAATATGAATATGCAAAAGACTTCCTATTGATAAGGTTATCAGCAAACAACTTTAGTTTCTGTTTATGGAATTACTTCTACCTTCACTTAATATGCAACAATGATTAATGCCAGGCTGTAAATTAGAGCTGGTAATATTGATAATTGCTCCTCTTACACCTGAGTCCTTTTTTATACAGCTAGGAAAACAGTGCTGCAACTTATATTTATTCAACATGTGGCAAGTCGCACTGATCCAAGTAGGGAAATGTCTTTGTTTGCAGGGAAATCTGTTATCTATCTGGTTGAGTATATGCTAGCTAAATAAATACAGGCAGTCCCCGGATTACAAATGAATTCCATTCCTAAGTCTGTCATCAAGTCAAATTTGTGTGTGAGTTGGAATAGTTATGTACAGTTCATATCTAACATAAGTTAGTCAAATGTTTGTCTTAGTATATGGTATACAGAGTACCTTTCTATGCATAAAAAAATTAAAGAAGCACTTCTAGATACACTAAAACATCTTTAACATAATAATACAGTAATAATAATAATATTTTGATGTGTGTCGCAAAATAGCACCCATTTGTTATTACAAACCATTGTATGTACCTGGAATTTTTAATATAATAGGCTTTACGGGGGTTGGCTCATAACTACAAGTGGTAAGTCAGTCAGATGTTCGTAACCCGGGGACTGCAAGTACATTGAATTTGGCTTTTTAATATTCCAGGTAATATCTGAATTTTCCATTGTATTTTTATTTTTCCATTTCTATCCTAAGGAGATATGATTATTATTACAGTTAAAAATAATTTACCCTCATAACTATAACCTCTTAAAATGTGTTTTTATTTTTCTGTATATTCCAAAGTATAGTCCTGATTACACCCTCAACAACTCTACCATTCCTACGTTTCATATACAGAACTTGTTTTGTTTTTGATTAGAGGCAGATGATACCTTCAGCACCCAGAAGGCAACATAGATCCTGGAAATATCTCAAATGCCAGTACGCACATGGTGCCTCCTTGGTGGTGTCAGATGTGCAGCTCTAGCAAAGAGCATCCATGGAAATAGCTGAAATGTAGAAGGCAGGTAGGTGGGGGACCAGATGTCAGCTTCTAAAAACATAATGGAATGAAAGTATAAGAGTCAGTTGTCGTATGAATTGAGCAATATAATTCAACTGGATAAGGCAGAACAGGGTGACCTGGTACAAATCTTGGCCACACAGTCCACTGGTAAATAACAGAGAAACATCGCACTGTGCTCTTCTGAATCCTACTCATTTGTTCAAATCCCGGATAAAGTCATACCTTCCCCATGAAGCCTTCTCTAACAGTAATAATGGTGATGATGAAGAAAATGATAATTACTGCCAGGTACTTTACACATAGAGTCCCTGGGTGGCACAAAAGGTTAAGCACTCGACTACTAGCTGAAAGATTGGCGGCTTGAATCCACCCAGAGCTGCATCTGAAAACAGGCCTGACAATCTACTTCCAAAAGATCACAGCCTCGAAAACCCTATGGAGCAGTTCTACTCTGCACATATGGAGTCACCCCGAGTCAGAATCATCTTGACAGCAACTAATAACAATAACTTTACATATTTGTTCCAGTTTCATCCTTGCAAAAACTCTTTAAGGAAGCAGGTCCTCAGAAAGATTAAGAAACTGGGCAATTCATTTGTCCCAAGTGGTGTTGATGGTTTAGAACTCAGGGAAAATACAGTGCGTATGGAAGATCCAGGTGACGATTTCTAGGAGTCGTTTGTTAGGTGAGTCTGATGTTTTGGGGAGAGTGCAGGGCTGCATGTAAAGCTTTGGGAGTCTTCAGCAATTAGATGGTAGGTGAGAACAAGAGAATATATGGCATCACAGTGAGAGAGTGTCTGGAATGGGGAAGAGTGCCTGACTGTGGTGCCCTTCCTAGTTTTGTCTGAGGACAAAACTCAGGGAGACAAGGATGAGCGCAAGCATAGCAGGCAGCAAAAGTAAACTAAGAAGGAGCAGCCTTCAATCAATAGTTTGGTGTCACTGAGAAAAGGGAGTATAGAATTTCAAAAAGAGAGTGGTCAAGATAGAAGAAACTTGGATTTTTAATGGGGCAGGAAAGTAGTCACTGGTGGTCCCCTTATCACAATATTTTCAGTAAAGTTTTACAGGTGGAAATTAAGGTGCAGGAAATATAAACAAAAACATTACAGAACATGGAAGAAACTCGAACATGCTTGAGGATAGTACGGCAGCTGAGAGGTGTAAGAGATGGAGCTAAGCAAAGAGCAGCCCCCTTCCTCCTACCACATGTTGGAAAACCCCTCCACATGGCTTGTAGTGTCCTCCAAAATCCCCGAGAAACATCAGAGACACAATATCCTCACTCTCACTTCTCCCATACGTGTTCACACACATTGTCTCATCATCCATCAGAATACTCCAGTCCAGGATGCTGAGTTCTGAAAGATCCTTCCCTCCTTTTTGCTGCATCAGGCCACTCATCTTCTTTGTGGCCTCCAGTCCTTGATACTCCCTATCTTCCCAGAATATCTTCTTGGTCTGGCTTTCCTTTCCTCTTTATCCATTCAGCCATTGCAGTGGTGCCCTTCCTAGTGCCCCTGGCCAGTCTTGCCCATGGTTTGGGCTTCGTAATCCCCCACAGCTGCCTGACTCTAAGTTATACATGTGCAGGGTACACAACTGAGCCTGGCTCCCACGACTGCCCCAAAAGGCGGCCTCGTCATCTCCCCTACAGCAGCAGCGCAGGCCCAGCCTTCTCTCTCAAGTTCTCAATCCTGCCCTGCCCTTCCTCTCCTCAGTTTTGGTAGACCCCCCATCTTGTGCTTTGTTCACTTTCCTGAACTGGGAGCCCTGCAACCCCAGTATCCTCTACCTTACTTTCCCACCTCAGAAGTTCTCTGACCTCCACTGATCCCTTTCAGTGTGTGTGATTGAAGGTCTAATCCTACCCCCTGGGTGCATGAATGAATGGCCCCTTTTAGTATCTGCAAGGGACCTTCCCCACCCCTCACCCTCACTCCTCCACAGCCCCACCCTGACCTCTCCACAATCCCCCACCTCCCCACCCACATCTGGGCTCAAGGCAGTCCCCAGGGCAGCCAGCCACCATGCAGGGAGTGCCCTGACTAGAGAAGTTGGTCCCAGGAAGAGCTAAGCTCAGCCACCCAGCCTGCCCGCCATGACGGGAGCACTGGACTGATGGAGGTCAGTCCCAGGCAGAGCCGAGTGCAATCGCTCAGCCTCTCGTCATACAGGAGGCACTCGGCTGAGGGAGGTGGGTCCGAGGCAGAGCTGAGTGCAGCCACCCAGGCTGCCCGCCCTGTAGGGGGCGCTCTACCGAGGGAGGTTGGTCCCAGGAAGAACTGAAGCAACCACCCAGCCTGCCCCCATGAATGGCACACTTGACAGATGGAAGTCGATCCCAGGCAGAGCCGAGCATAGCCACCTAGTCAGCTCGCGAGTAGGGGGCGCTCTGCCAAGGGAGGTCGTCCCAGACAGAGTTGAGCGCCACAAGCCCGCCGTACAGGGGGCGCTTTGCCGAGGAAAGTCGGTCCCAGCAGGCCTTGCGGTGTAACTTAGAGCTCTTCTCTGTGACGTGACACGTCGTCGCCCTGGAGCGGTTGGTGTGGTGAGGTGATCGACTTCAGTCTTTGTGAGGAGGACCAAGGGGTGAGGAAGGAAGGAGGCTGAGGAGGAGGCCAGGACTGGGCGAGGACTGAACTAGGACTGAGCGAGGAACTGTGGGGCTGACCGGTTGGTGGCCGTCGCCTATAACAGCAACCCCGGCAGCGTCCCGTGAGGCGGATCGGCTGACTAGGCCGAAGCAACCATGGCGGTAGAGTTAGGGGACCATGGAAGCGGGTTCCGCCACAATGAAGTGATCAGGTTCATTAACAATGAGGTCCTTATGAATGGCGGCGGCCCAGACTTCTACCTTGCTTTCCGCTCGCGGCCGTGGAACGAGGTGGAGGACCGGCTTCGGGCCATCGTGGCGGACCCGCAGGTGCCCCGCCCCATCAAGAGGGCCTGCACCTGGAGCGCGCTGGCTCTGAGCGTGCGTGCGGCCGCGAGGCAGCGGGAGCAGCAGATGCGTCGGGTGCGGTTGCTGCAGGAGCAGGTGGAGGAGCGCGAGGCAGCCTCCTGTGCCCTGGCCTCCGAGCTGCAGCGCCTGCGTGAGGAGCGCGAGAAGGCGAGCTTGCAGATGCATTTCACACGAGCGGCCCTGCAGCAGGCACTGAATGAGCGTGACGTGCTGCGCGGGAGGCTGTTCCAGGTGGAGAGATCGGCACAGTTCTACCCACTGCCCCAGGAGGTCGCGTCTGGGAATCAAGCTGAGCAGCATGGGGCCGCAGCGTGGCCCCTGCATGCGGAGGATCAGAGCCAAGTGGTGGCCATGGGGGCACAGAGCATGCCGTGTTCAGAGGCACAGATGGCAGCCCCAGCAGCTATGCTTTACGTGCCGGGACCACCGGGTCCCTGGGGCCAGGCCATGCAACCCCATTTGCCAATGCCAGTGCCACACCCATGCCTATTCCACCCTCCATACCCAATGGGATTCCCATACTCGACACCTGTACCAGCAGCAGCAGCAGCAGTCCCACCTCACATGCCTCCTGGAGGGATACACCCAGCTGGCCTGTGGGCTCCAGTGGGGTCCCAGGAGATGGCCCCACTGTGGGACCAGAGGAGCTATGGCCAGGAGCAAGGTTCTGGGAACACCCAGGGGACATTTTCCCTGGGGGACAACAAGAGTCACAGCCAGGGAGAAGGTCCAGTGAAGCCCCAGGGGACAACCCCCCTGGGGGACAGCAAGAGCTGCAGCCAGGAGGAAGGTCCAGAGAAGCCTCAGGAGATGACCCCCCTGGGGGACGGCAAGAGCCCCAGCCAGGACGATGGTCCAGAGAAGCCCCAGGGGACAACCCCCCTGGGGGACAGCAAGAGCTACAGCCAGGAAGATGGTCCAGAGAAGCCCCAGGGGACAACCCCCCTGGGGGACAGCAAGAGCTACAGCCAGGAAGATGGTCCAGAGAAGCCCCAGGGGACAACCCCCCTGGGGGACAGCAAGAGCTACAGCCAGGAGGAAGGTCCAGAGAAGCCTCAGGGTATGGCCCCACTGGGGGACGGCAAGAGCCCCAGCCAGGAAGATGGTCCAGAGAAGCCTCAGGGGACATCCCCCATGGGGGACATCAAGAGCTACAGCCAGGAAGATGGTCCAGAGAAGCCTCAGGAGATGACACCCCTGGGGGACAGCAAGAGTCACAGCCAGGAGGAAGGTCCAGAGAAACTTCAGGGTTTGGACCCCCTGGGGGACAGCAAGAGCCACAGCCAGAAGGATGATTCAGAGAAGCCTCTGGGGATGGACTTTCTGGGGGACAGCAAGAAATCCCGCCAGAAGGAAGGTCCAGAGAAGCCTCAGGGTTTGGACCCCCTGGGGGACAGCAAGAGCCACAGCCAGAAGGAAGGTCCAGAGAAGCCTCAGGGTATAAACCCCCTGGGGAACAGCAAGATCCATGGTGTGAGAGAAGGCCCAAAGAAACAGCAGCCTCAGGGGCAAAAGGCCAAGCAACCAAGAGGAAAAAAAGCCTCGGAATACCAGCACCAGGAGAAGCCTGTCCCCGGAGGCAGTCCCGCGAATTGGGATTGCCTGTGGTGCAGAGCGATGAATTTTTCATGGCGCACAGCCTGCTATAAATGCAAGAGAGTCTATATGCCAGGTGAGAGCGGAGGCCTTGACCCAGGACAAGCTCCTCACTGATTTCAGAAAGGTAAGTGTGAATGGAAACACACTCCAAAGCGAAATCAATTTCCTGAGGCTCCCTTCCGATTTTTTTTTTTTTAAAAATTACTTAACAGAAAATTTGACAACGAAAATTATCACATAGAAAATTAAGTAACATAATCCATTATCCCATTGGAAACCCTGGTGGCATAGTGGTTAAGAGCTATGGCGACTAACCAAAAGGTCGGCAGTTCAAATCCACCAGCCTCTCCTTGGGAACCCTATGGGGCAGTTCTACTCTGTCCTATAGGGTCGCTATGAGTCGAAATCGACTCGACGGCAATGTTTTTTGTTTTTTTTTTAGTATCTTGTTACTCAAATTAGCCACTTTTTATCATTTTGGGCACACACACAGAAATATGTACATTTTTATATTCTTATTTCATTCAGTTATTTTAACAAAGGGGGACTACTTTTGGGTGTCACACTTACTCTTCAAATAGGGGATTTCTCGTAATTGTATTTAAGTTTCCAGGTGGTAGATTCTGGGTGACTGATGACAATTGGTTGACACCCTGGAGAAGCTGAAGTCATGAAGCCTTTTTTTTTTTTTTTCTTTTTTAATTCCTTTTTGTTTCCTTCTTCACCTTGTTTTTCTGAAAATGCCATGTCTTTGCCTGGAAACACCCATCTATTTTTAGAGTTATAAACTATATCATATGTTAGGAACACTGCTTTTCCTTGAAAATGCTATTGTTGCTCTGTAAACTGCTGCAGTGTTCATGCTTGTTTCTTGTTTTTATTTTTTAAATTTTATAGGTGAGGTCCTGTTTTTGCGTCTCTGAGCTCCAGGGAACTTAACTGTTGTTGAAGAAGGTACACCAGTCCCATTAGAAGATCTCCCAAGAGTCTAAAGAAATAACACCTCAACTCTGAGCGCCACTGTTAAGTGAGACCCCAGCTGGCTGAGCCGAGAAGAGTGAGAGAAAAGGAAGAAGATACGTTTTGGCACATGTTGGGGGGAAAGGGGGGGCCAACTGATTTTGTTAGAAGTTAATTTCTCAGTTGGAACAAGAGATTAACTTGGAAGAATTGTGGAGTTGTAGTGTTAGATTCTCTAGATGATAGGAAATTTGAGGAATCCCTTTATATTCATTGACCAGTTATTGACTATGTAGTATTTGTTAGGAGTCCCTGGGTGGCACAAATGGTTAAGCGCCTGGCTACTATTTGTAAGGTTGGCTGCTGGAATCTACCCAGAGACACCTTGGAAGTCAGGCCTAGAGATTGGCCTCTGAAAGGCCACAGCCTTGAAAACCATATGGAGCAGTTCTATTCTGCACACACAGGGTCGCCATGAGTCAGAATCAACTTGATGGCAGCTAACAACAACCGTATTTGTTAAGAGCTGTTTATACATTATTATCTTGTGCACACATTATAACCCTTTTTGGTGAGTTTGATTAGATGGTGAGAGCCTAATTTGAGATACAAATAGATCAGGGGAGACTTCTTTGCCTTGCATGTAGTGTGACCTTGGGGTAAACACAATTGAAATAACATCCAGATCCATTTTTGCAGTTCTGGGAGCAGTATAAAAAAGACTTTCATGAAAGGACTAGGGGGACTGAGCACCTCATCTCATTGGTCCCGGTGAGATGAATGAGCAGCTGCAAAGATTGAGAAAGTAGCCTCACAAAAGTGCAGGCAACACTTTTTTGAAACTCGGCTAATTTCGTCCCTTGAGAGGGACAGTTATGTTTCTGGTTGTCCACTGGCCTGGCTGAAAGACCACTGGGTTTTCTTGAAAAAGGACAATGCCTGGGGGAGTGTTGGCTACCCACTTGCGCCCTCAGCCTTGGGCTGCCTTCATTCCAACCCCCTTTCTAATTAACAGTGGCTGACGAACAAAATAGTTTCCAAGGACAATGCTGCTTCCTTTGGGAGGAGTAATTGAAGTAAGAGAACTGGACTGGGGCAAGCCCTGTTGGGAATGCTCCTGGACACCTTCTCCTCCATTTGGTGTGTTCTCGCAGTCTCTCTGCTACCCGAGGCAGCTGCTGCAAGGCAAGGAGGGAACCAGGGGGGAAGCCCAGGCAGTAGGATGGTAGGTCAACCTCTAGTGTGAACAAACGGAGGCTTTCAGTTTCCCCGTGAGATCCCACCCAGCTCACCAAGGGGTTTGGTTTAAAGCCCTAACTTGTAATAAAGAGTGTGCATTTACCTGCTGTGTCTTCTGTGTAGTGTGTATCTCAGGGAAGATTTTCTCAGGGGTGGCAACATAAATCTGCATCTTTCCTTCACCCTACAGAAGTAGAAGGAGTCCTGGGTAGCGCAAATGGTAAAGCGCTGGACTACTAGAAAGGTTAGTGGTTCGAACTTACCCAGAGGTGCCTCAGAAGACAGGCCTGGCAATCTGCTTCCAAAAAGCCACAACCTTGAAAACCCTATGGAGCAGTTCTACTCTGCACACATAGGGTCACAATGAGTCGGAATCAACTCCAGAGCAACTAACAACAGCAACACTGAAGTGGAGGAAAGTTCAATCTCATTTACTATGAGGGGGCTCCTCCTCTTACTGAGAGTTACCTGAGAATTGGGGATTTATATGAGGCCTTCATCATGATTGTCCCTGCTACTCTCACTGTCCAAGTCCACATGATCCCTTGAATGTGGGCATCTTTGCCACTCTAGGACCAGTGGGGGGTGGGTCTCTCTGCTAAGACTGGAAGCTCTGGTGCCTAGGGTTCAGTGTCCCCATGTGTACCATGCAGCTATTCCCCACTATGTCTCTGCCCTCTCCCTGGGCTCGTGCCTGTGAGTAAGGGGTGCTCAGGTCCCATGAGCAGGAATCTCCTTCTTGTCTCTTTGCTTTCTAAGACATTCCTACTTCCCCTAGCATACTATATTTTAACGCAGGTAACGTGCACCTTATACTGTTTTTTGCCATGCGAGCTATGCTAATTTTTTACAGCAACATACAAAAAAATTAGCATAGCGCACTGATGAATATACCTGGGGGTGGAGGGCATAGCTGGCAAAAGCAAAACATAAAGTATAACAAACACGTTATTTGCGTAAAAATACAGTAATTCTGTCAAGGTAATCAAGATTATAGAAACTCAAAATGCAGGCTGGCAGCATAAACCTTTATCACACCTATCTCTGTACAGATATGGAATTAAATACGTAAAAATATAAACAGTAGTTAACTCTGGTGGTCGGATTATGATTAAATCTTTTTTTTTCTTTTTCTACTAATTTTTCAAAAGTGAAATTAAGCTGCATTTATAATCAAAGAGGTACTGAAAACATTGGTTTCCCACCAGAATCTGTTTTACATCTCGCTGGAGACAAGGGGACAAAGATCTGGATACATTCTTGGAATGGGCATGGTGGGATGAGGCTGTGGACAATAATGATCCTGTCATGCCAGCGATCTTCCTTCTCTCAGAGCCTGGACTAACAGTGAGCGCCTTGGTTATCTGGGACAGGAGTACAGGGAAAGAAAGGGGCTGTCAGGTGGAACAAATGCAAAACTATTTTGGGGGGAAGGGGAACGATACTATTATATGTTGTAGATCTTAATCACTCCCTGTACATTTGGAGAGATGGGACTATGCAGGTATTTTTCCTGCTGGGTCTAGATTTAGTGTTGGTGCGATAGAAGAGGAGGAAAAGAAATGGTGGTGGAGGAAGAGGAAAAGAGATCAGGCCTGGCAGCAGCTGCTGCTCCTAGTAATGGTAGGAGTGGGCCTGGTATTGCTGCCTCTGTAGGCACTGATGAAGGTGGTCGTAAGGTAGAGAGATACAGGTATTTCTTTGAGTAAGGGGGTGTAGGGAAGGTGGGAGGAGGCCTACTAGAGCCTGTGAGGGCTTTATAGCAAGAGAGCCAGAATTCTGTGTGGAGAAAGTGGGCAATGATAGCGATATTCTCTCCCACTCCCCTTACTCATTCCCTCACCTCCTCATACCCACTACTGGCAATGCTGTTGCTTCCTAGGCTCCAGTAGCGGACAAGTAAAAAGGTTGATGGGTAGCACCAAGCGCCCAACTTAGTGTGAAGATTTTAAAGATACAGTGGCACCAATCCTCACAATTGTGTGAATTTATTCTCCAGTGTTTAGCCATATTCAGGGTAGGAGTAGACAAGATATATTTTAACAATGATCTAGAATTGGCCTTTTTAGGCTCCGAGGGAGAAAAGACCTGGTGATCTGCTCCCTTAAAGATTACAGCCTAGGAAACCCTGTAGGGCAGTTCTGTCTGTCCTACAGGGTGGCTAGGAGTTGGAATGGACTCAAGGACACACAAAAACAATAACAGAGTAGAAGGATAAAAGTGCAAAGTCCAGGATAGGGGAGTAGATCAGAAACTTAGGATTGGAGTGCTGAGGTCGAATGGAGTGGAGGTCATTGGAATTAAGGAGGTAAAGTTCTGATATAATCTCATGACTTTATAAGACTTTTCACATAAATAAATTTACAAACTCAGAAAAAGAAAAACCATCTTACAGATTATGACTACATTTGGAGTTTCTCAGAGCTTCATTTATTTTTTTCACCGGAGACAGAAATCACCTGATTTGTTTTTGTTTGTAAAGAGAGAGGAAGGCCCGTGGGATTTGACCAGGCTGATCTGGTGACCCACAAAATCATTTGCTTACTTGACCCACATGATGGAATGCACAAAACCACCCCAGTTGGAATGAAACGTAGAACCTACGGGAAAACAATGTAGATCCAGCCAGATTGGGTCTTCTCAGAGGAGGCTCTATGTTTACGATTACCATCTAGCAGAAAGTAAAACTTTTAAACATAGTTTTTGTCTACTCAGACATCTGAAGCTAAGAACAATTAAAAATACTATCAAAGCTCTTGGAACTCCTGTCTAGTATAGTGGGTAAACTAAATTTGAATCCTAGCACTGGCAATTGTTAGCAGTGTGATATTAAGCAAGTTGCTTTCTGTGCCTCAGTTTTCTCATCTCTAAAATGGGAATAATAACATTTACTAAATAGGAGTGTTTTAAGGATT